CTGGCACAGAATTAAGAGGAATCTAACAGTTCTAAACTCAAACCTGTGTTCCAGAACATTCTATAGGTCTATTTGTCAGAATAGAAGGATAAAATGCATTATCTTTAACAGTTTGTTTGCTAGATTTATTACTTTTAAATATCTTGGCCTATGCCATCTCATCCTCTATACTCTTGCCTGAGGTTCCACGAATGTTAGGAATGGGTCTGTTCTTTGTGGAGACATATATTAATTAAATAATCACACAAAGGATTGTAAAATTGAACCATAGTGCTGAGAAAATAATGCGCTTTTGGCTCTCTGCTAAAATGCTCTATACTTGATCTCTGTTCCCAGGATTCTAATTGCATCTTGGGGTCTCCATGTTTTCTTAAGCTCTGCAAAGCCCTTCTCTTACTCCCCAAGAAACCAAAACACTGTCTAAAATATTCCACACTGGCCCTGACTGGTGAGGCTCAGTTGGTTGAGCATCATCTCACAGAGCAAAAGGCCGCAGCTTTGATTCCGAGTCAGGGCACATGCTTGGGTTGTGGGCCAGTCCCCTGTTGGGGCACTTACAAGAGGCAACCAGTTGATGTTTCTCTCTCGCATTGATGTTTCTCTCCCTCCCTTCCCCTCTCTTTAAGAATAAATAAATGAAATCTTTTTTAAAAAATAAAATACTCCACACTACCCTTGCCTTTTCTGAGTGCAGAGCTCCAGGGAAGCAGACTCCAGGAAGAACAAGAGAGGTAGATGAAGTCTATTAATCTCTTCCAGGTTTATTTCTTGCTTTTCATTGGGTTCAAAACAGGTGCCCCACCACCACCACTGCCATGCAGATTTTATCTCTGTGCCTACCCCTAGGTGCTCCACAGCTGGCCCAGCTGAGGAGGTGGTCCCAAGTCTTTGTCAAGGTTCCCTTGTGTCTCACATCTCTTCTGTTTCTGGCTTCTTAAACTCAGCCTAAGTCTATTTCATCTCACTTGGTCTTCAGCAGCCACAGAGAAGAAGCCTTGTCTGACTAATTGGAGAAAAGGTAGCAATTCTCCCACCTGTTTCTCTGAATAGGCACCCCACAGGCTAGCTGCTTTTAAACATGCATCCCTTCCTTGTACCCGATATTACTATAATTCACCTGCGACTCACTGTCTGTGTGTTCTTGATCTCTATCAACCTCTGTGATGTCTGGGTTGGATTGCCAAACTCCCAGAGGGCAGGGCCACATCGGCCCTGTGCCTTTAGATCCTGCTCAGCAGGACAGCAGGCACAGGTGGGCACTTCGTAGAGACTTTTGATGGTAGAAACAGGGCAGCACAGGGAGCATTGTAATTGCACCAGAAGCAACCTCCTGACCCAGCCACACCATGATCACAGCAGTCCCCCTGCCAGACTGGGAGCCAGGGCACATTTCTCCTTTTATATGAGGCAAGGAGGGACCCTCTTGCTTCTGAGACAACGATGACAACAACAACAACAACACCACACTGTGATGGCACTGCTTTAACCGTGTTGACTCATCCGATTCTCAGAATGACGTTATGAATTGGGGACTATCATCATTATCCCAGTTTTACAAATGAGGACCCCAAGTCCCAGAGAGACTATGCCATGTGTTCAGACTTCAAACTGGGGCCACCTAGCTTTAGACACCTTGGCTTACCCACCAAGGGGCACTGTCCCTCAAGGTGAACTAGAAATGGAGAGTGGAAGGGTTGGTGACTGGGCTCTTGTCTCATACTCTCATGGGTCTTTGATCCCTGTCCCACCTGAATGAATGGCTGAGAGGAGGAAAGTAGGTACTCAGTCAGCTTTCCGGTGTGAAGCCAAGCTGTCTCTGAAAGCTTTGGTTCACACCTGTCTCTCTCCCTCCTCCTGTCCTCTCTTCTCTTTCTCAAACATGTTCAGCTTGTTCACACCAAGGCTTTTGAACCTGCTGTTCCTCCACCTGGAATGCTCTTTCCCAGACCTTTGCCTCAGCAGATCCGTCTCATGGTGTGGGTGTCAGCTCAGAGGGCACATTCTTAGGAAGGCTGTTCCTGATCAGTGTACTTGATGTAGCCACATCTTTTGCAAGCCCTCTCTTTTATTCTTGTCTAACTCATTTTCCTGCTGTACTTTCACCAAGGCACTGAACACCATCCAAAATCACTTGTTTTTATCTAGTAGTTTATTTGTCAATGTCTGCATCTCTGCTAGACAGTCAGATTCAGGAGAGAAGAGATCTCATCTGTTTGGTCCACTCCTGGACACTCAGTGCCTAGAACAGCGTCTGGCACGCTGGAGATACGCAGTCCGTATGTATTAAATGCACATATGAATGAAAGATGCAAAGTCCTTTAAAAATAGGTGGCACAAGCTGGATCCTTTGGTTGACCCTCACCACATACATTATACGTCCCTAGAAGGAAGAGACCACATCTTTATTTTTGGCAGTTGTTTAGCCATTGGCATAGCGGCAAATGACTGGAGCCATTGGGTTCCTTTGTTTGGGCAGGGAAAAGGCCAAGACATTCAGCCCTGAGATTACAGACTATCTGTACTCCTTTCAGGGCCATGTGTGGGCAACTGCTGGACAGCTCTGTCCCTGAAATCTTGGCTTCTCTCCCCCCGACCATCCTCTCTCTCCCTCTTTCCCTTGTCCAGAAAGTTTTTCTCATCTCTTCCCCCTTTGTCTCCCTTCCTCATTGAAATGCTGTGGAGAAAAATGAACAAAAAGTGGGAAAATGTGTTCCCCACATCTGACCCACATTACTCTTAATACTTCTTTAACATCATCTCATTTTAATCTCCTGGTTCTTGCACACATAAAGCAAACCCCCAAAATATAAAAATCATACTTGATTAGATCCAGTCTTAATGCCAGCATGATATCCTATTTCTCCCACATAATAATAGAGCCCATTTCTTTCTTGGTGTTAGCTTTTGTAGTCAATGTTTTTTTTACGACCCATTGTAAAAATAATAAACAAGAAGGAAAAGCTCCTAATCTCTGACTCAGCCCTGTAGCACGTGAAGGTGTTTCACAATATTCTTATGATCTCATTCTTTTCTTTTCTCAACAAACTGCTGCTTTTTCATGATCAAAATACATGCTATTATATATTAATCGCTTTCAAGGCATTTTCATGCTCATTATCTCTTGGATCTTCCCAACACATATAAGAAAAGGAGGGGAGGCTGAAAAAGGTATCTGTGAATCACAGAAGTTGGAAAAGGGGTCCAGAGGCATAAAGTGATTTGAAGTTCACACAGCAGATGAAATACCGTTCAAAACAGGCTCCAAGTCCTGCTGTTCTCTATGGACAAGAGTGTTCTTACCAGAAGCCACATCCCCCCAGCCCTTGTGACCTACAGATCTGAGCAAGCCCTTATGGGAGAAGAAAGAAATAGCTTAAGAAGTTAAGAAACTAAATAATTCCTTCTCTTGGAACAGATGAGGCTCCCGATTGGGGCAAGATCCTGACCAGGTGCACCCCAAAGTAAGGCATCTCTCCTGCTCTCAGCTGAGCCACTTGGCCTTGTGTCTGCTGTAGGCCCAGCACTTGATGTGCAGAGAGGGGCTGAAGGAAAGGCACTGAGCAGGGATCCTGGACCTGCTCCCCTAACAGGATCCCTCAACTCTGGGCAATACTTCATTTGGGACTTCTGGCCGTCCTCGTCACAAGAAGGCTGGCCCTCAACAGAGAAAATTACTCACCCTGAGATCTTTGTCACCTCCCCTCATAATATCCAGGCTGTGGCCCCAGTCATCATCTGTTCCTGAAGTGCTTTCTCCATTCAGAACAAAGAAAAAAATGAATGAAAATGCCAGCTAAGCCTGCCTCTCACATGGCAAGCCCTCAGCGAGAATTAGGACCACTCAGGAACACCAGCATGGTATTCTAATGCATTGCATTTGTTCAGGGGGCACCCGGGAGTCTTCCCTCCACTTCTTGGAAGTCAGCGAAGAAGTGGCTGATGTGACTGCATAATCCTGCCCAGGGTGCAAATGAATATTCTTTCTCCAGCATGACTAACTAGATCAGATTTTCAGATCTGGGATTCTGTGGAAAATGTTGCCACAATATGACTCTTGAAGAATGTGCATGTGCTATCCAGCCCTGCAGACACAAGATTGGAAGTGGAGCTCAAAGGGAGTGGGATAAATATGTCTGTGAAAATCTGAATTAATGGAGTAGTGAGAACCCTCAGACTTGAGAAGACTCTGGTCCATGAGGTGCTTGCCATCCCCTATCCTGGATGAGGAGAACTGATGGGACAATCTAATTTGATGTGTTTCAGGCCTGAGAAGGGGAATAGATATGACAAGATTTCCTACTAGCTTCTCTATTTCCCTTAAACTCACTCTCATCCCACTTACCTGCCTGCTTTCAACCTAGAAAAACTTGACTCTGCCAAGAGGTGTCTTAGCAAACTGTGGTCTTCTTGGACCTAGGATCCCTCTCCATTTCCTCTGCAGTGATTGAAACACGCTGCTGAGAATACAGTATCATGTGGGAGGAGGGAGCCTCAAAATGAAAGATCAGGCACAGGCTTGTTGGGCTTTAGTCTATGGAAACAGGGAAAGGGACAAGATCTCTGCACACCCTCATGGAGGGAAGAAGTTTGACTCTGGGACTGAAGAGAGGCTGCAGAGAATGTCACTAACAACACATCGGATAAAAGGACACTTCACAACAAGTGTGAATAGACCACATAGTTCCTTCGTTTCATTGCTTCTGACTTCTGGCTCTTTTATTCTGAGGACACTTATGGAATTTTTGCATGCAACTGAAGGCACTAGCATTGGAAGGTAAATGCAAAAACTGAGTTGCAAGTGAGCCACCAAACAGGCTCCATCAGGAACAAGACATCTTTTAGGAAAACTTAACCAGAAGAAACATCATTGAGGAGTCCTTAAAACTTATAGTCCTCACATTACACACGACACAATGGTTCCCCAGGGCCAGTAGGCAAGTAGCAATCTGCAACAGCTGGAGATATCACAAGGAAGCAGGAAGAGGGAAAAGCGGTCTCACCTGTTCCGGCCCCTGGAAGCAGATGCGGCACAGCGGGGTCCTCATGCCACTGTCCAGGCTGCTGCCCAGTGAGTAGCGATCCTCAGCCTTCCCCTTACAGAAGTCATCTGAGGAGGCACTGCTGAGCAGTGAGGCAGGTGGCTCTGTGGCTGGGCCACCCCAGTCATCTTCCACAGAAGGTGGCAAAGTTGGTGGAGGTGGCAGAGGAGGGGTCTCCCTGCCCACCCCTTCTCGAGGGCCCCTCCAGCCTGCCCACCCTCCGGCACCCAGAGCCGGAAGGGTGTTGTTGTTGGCTGTCAAACCGGGGGGCTGGGGGTCGCCGTGCATGGGCAGGGGCGCTGGAGGGGGGCGCCGCAGTAGGAAAACCTTCAGGTCATTGAAGAGCATGCGGCAGCGGCACTTGAGGAGACCCTGGTGGCGCAACATCTGGGGAGCCGGGGTGCACAGTCCACAGCGGTACCAGGCACAGCAGTAGCAGCAGCAGCACCACCAGAGCAGCCTGCTCAGGGGCATCAGCATGTGCCCCGTGGAAGCAGAGAACCCGGGAGGGGCAGCTGGAGTCTTTGCAGAAGATAGGACGATTTTGGGGGTCCACAGCGTAGCCCTGTTACGCGGCAGTCTGCTTTCTCACTGGCTCCTCTAATACACCCTCCAAGGAGCAAATAAATTACCCTCAGGACTGATGACTGCAAGTCACTGATTCGGAACTTTACCTGGAAAGCCAAACAACAACCACAAAAAGTTGTTCTTGCCCTCCACCACTACCTCACCCCAACCTTGGGCTTTGTTCGGGGTGCCTCCCCTCTGCCTTTGACCTAAGGGCACTGGTAGGAGCAGGGGGATAAAAAATGTCAAGGATAGGCCATGAGGGCCTTGAGATAAAGGTCTAATTGTTAGAAAGTTCCCCAGGAGAGGATTATTAGGTTGTTCTCAAATTCCTGGGCAGTGGGAAATCTTTTTTCTTGTATATAAAAAGGTGGGGAAGATTATAAACCAAATTTAGAGTGGATCGAGCTGGGATTAGGGCAAACTAGCTCAGTGAAGAACTGAGGACTGGCATGTGGGAGAGAGAGAAAAGATTGCTTTTCCTCAGGTAGCAAGAGATTGGTTTGTGTGTGGGGGGTGGGGTGGGTAAAGTGGAAAAGAGAGGAGGTTGGGACAAATTCTAACTCTCCTGGGCAGAAAACTGGGGCAATTAACCCCAGAAGCACCGGCGTTGCTTTGAAGAGAGCAATTGGAGACAGGGAAGGGTTTGCAGGTGAACTTGGGCGAGCGGCTTGTGCTTTGCTTCAGCAGCCAAAGGGCTGCACCGAATGGAGAAAAGCCAATTAGGAGAATAGAGGTGGGGAAATAAGGGACTGGGGAGGGGGAAAGAGGAAACTAGAAAAGATCTCTTAACCCTTGCAGAACGCCTTCTTTCTGAGCCTGAAGATCCTGGCCAGAAGAAGGGTGTGTACGGGGGACAGGAGGCAGCTGAGCTGAGAAAAGAGAGAGAGGCGAGGGGCGTGTAGGGAGGGACCGAAGGAAGGAGTAGTTACATGGTCTCAGCCCCCAGCCCGCCCCTGCGGCAGTCTGTAAATCCAAGGCCCCCTTCCCTTGGCTCCATCAAATGTCCCTTCCGGCGAGGGCCAAGGGCCTGGAGAAGGGCAGGTCCAGGCGGGTGAGTGGCCTCGCTCTCTGCTCCTCTTCCTTCGCGGGGCGGTGGTCGCCCTCGCCGTCGGGCTCCGGGTCGGCCCGCGGCCGGCGACGCTGCTGCTGGGGAGGCGGTGGCGACTGCTGCTCGGCGTCCGGGCGTCTCCGGGGCGGAGGCTGCTCTGGCTCGTCCTCGGGCTGCTGCTCGCCGTCCGGCGCGGCCGCGACTTCAGGCTTCATGATCCTCCGCCTCCTCCTCCTTCCCGGGGGGCCGGCCCCGCGCCCCCGCGCCGGGGCAGCGCGGCCATGCAACCAGGGGCGAGGCAGGCGCAAGGGTGGGGGCGGCTGAGGAGTGAGAAGGCGGGTAATAAAAAAATGAAATGATACTAGTGGAAGAAGAATAATTCGGTACTCAAATAATCGGGAAAGAGCGCTTCTGGAGGGGCGGGGGCGCAGGAGGGCGGCTGCCGGGTCTTCACCTCGGCTCTGCCCCCCCACCCCCACCAAGGGCGGCCTCGGCCCGCTCCCCGACCCCTTCCACGCCGCCACCCCCTCCTCTGCACGGCCTCCGGCTGCCTAGGCTGGCTGTTGCTACCTCTTCTCGCAGATGCAACGGGGTAAGGGCTGTTTGCGGGGCCAGTGGAAGGCGGGCAGAGGGGAACGAAGCAGCGTGGCCCAGGCGGGATGCAGTCAGCGCTTGGCTCCGGCTTGGTCCTCGCGACTCCCCAAAACCGTATATAAATATATCTCTTATAAAGGCGAGAGGAAGTAAATCCGATTCCAGGCTGCTGCCAGGTGTTGTCTCGTATTCCGCCGTTGCTCGGCACCCGCCGCCGCGACTGCTGCCCCCTTGGCTCCGTCCCTAAAGGGGTGGTGCTGGAAGGGAGGTGGCGTGGGCTGTGAGTTGACCGTCCGAGGACTGGGAACAATGTGCTTGGAGCGCAGAGAGAGCTCCCAGCTGCCTTGGCCGCCGCAGCCGCCGCGGCCGCCGCTGCTGCATTCAGCACCCGGGGCGAGTGGACAGCTCCCGCCCAGACCCCGCGCTCCAGGCAGGTGGGGGCCTGACGCAACTGCCGCGCGGGGGAGGAGGAGGGAAAGGGTGTGAGAAGGAAAGAGGCTAAAGAGGGAGGGAGCCAGACGACAGAAGAACTGAGCGAGGGAAGGGGGTGGGGAGGGACCGAGGGGAAAGGAAGGAAGGAGGAGAGGGAGGGATTTAGAAAGGAAGGGAGGAGGGAGCGAAATGGTGGAAGAGGGGGGACGGCAAGTGGGGTGGAGGAAAGCAATTCAGGTGTTAACGTGGGTTTGCCCCCAGCTGGAAAGTATCAGTGGATGCACGGTTGTAGAATTCCCTCTCACTGTACTCTATCACTGTGCCCCTTGACACACACAGACGGACTTCTGCCTCTGAAGCAGAGTCCATTTCCCTGCTCAGATACAAACATGTAAGCAGATAATCAGTCTGCAAGCTTTGGAAGAGATAAACTTTTTGTGATTATGGTGTCGATGGTGAGACTTAATGGAGAACAGGCTGTTCATGACTAGGAACTCACAAGAAAGCAATACCTCAAACAAGGAGGGAAATGCTAGCACAATTTTTGCCAGTTTCTTCTAGAATATAAGCTCTGAACGGAAGAGAGAGTTTAGAGAGGTCTATTTTTATTCCACGCGTGTAGGTCAGTGATGGCATGTAGTAGGTGCTCAATACGTGTTTGTTGAATGGATTATGACCACCGCCACCATCACCACAGCTATCATTGATTACTCCAAGCCATAGATTTCTTTCAATTGCAGAGCATAAAAATCTCAAGTAATAGTACAGCTTCATCTTAACCAATATCTCCAGCTTTCCACTGAGTCACTGACAAGAGGTAATTTGAAATGGATTTTAATTTCTTTTATTATTTCTATATCTGACTCATGTCACCCTACACCATTCTTCTCAAGAAGTTTCTAGTGAGCAGAAAAGTAAAAAAAAAAAAAAAAGTAGAAAAATACTCTCCAAATGTGGAGAGAGAAAAAAAGAGAAAACTTAAAGTGATCTGTAAAAATACTCAATGCTTGCTGCATTGCTTTCTTGCTTTTCCTCATAAACACCTCTCTCTCTCTCCCCCCCTTTCTCTTTCTCTCTCTTTCTCTCTCTCTCTTTCTCTCTCTTCTCTCTCTCTCTCTCACACACACACACACAAACACACACACACACACTCCTCCGGGGCCATAGACTTGGACAAGCTATCCCAATGAGTCATTCACACAGCTGTGGTAATGTCTTTAGAAATAGTGAAACCATAGACAGAATAGCGTTCAGAATCACTGCACCAAAATATCATTGGCATGAAGTTCAGCCCTATGAATCAAAGAAAATTACCCCTTTGCTGCCATCTCCTTGAATGATTCATTCTTCCAAGCTCTAAGGAGCAAGGACTTAAGTCTAGGTCTTGGTTAACCCACTGTGGCTTCTTGTTTGAATCATGCCTCTGCACCCACCAAGGCTGGTGAAACCTGGCCCAGAGTGAGTGATTTGAAGATGATGCTTTTGCTATTAACAAGTACAAAATAATGTGTATATTATTGATATCGGCATGACTACTGTGCTGCAAAAGGTAATTTCTTTGTTTAAAAAGAATCCATATTCTCTCAAAGAAAATTGTCTCCACATCACCCTTGCCTGACTCTGACATTGTGCAAATCACACTTTATAATAATGGTCTTATTATACATTCTCTCTTTACACGACTTAGAATTCCCTGAAGGCAGGGACCAGCCTTTATTTCTGTATCATCAGCTCATGATATAGTGCGTGAAGTCTGGTGGATGATCAAGAAAATGAATACTGAATGAATGAATGAATGAATGAATGAATGGTCTTTTTGTTTATTGAAGCTATCATATTTCTTCCCTTCAAGCTAGACACATATATGTGAGTGCTCTCATACATGACTGAATATATGCTTTAGCTAAAATTGATCATCTGGTTTTTGTGTTGGTGAAGTAACTAGTTCCAAGTGTGGCTTGCAAGTAAATTGCGACAGAAGCTAGACAGGCCACATAAGGCCTGTATTAAGATTCATAGAAAAGGATGATATCCATAAGACAACTGTTTTTTCCCAACTCTTCCACTGAAAGCAAAAGGATTTCTAGAAGGAGAAACCTGCTAAAGATTGGAAGCAACAACAGGGCTGTCTTCAGAAAGACTGAAAGGCTTGAGAATTCTATTTTAAATATAATGTAAATCCTGAAAAGCACTTCACTGAGTTAGAGTCTCCTTGTACTGATGATGAAACAGCGGTTGTGAGCCCCAAGAGTAAAAGCCACAATAAACAAAATGTTAAATCAATGAGTCTCCATTTAAGCATTCAAAAAATATTTACTGAACACTAATCATAAGCAAGCCATTGTGTTGGAAGATGTAGGAAACACAAAAGTGAATTGGAATTGCACCCTCAAGGGTGTAGTACTCTAAATGTTTACATAGTCATAATGGAAGGTACAAAATAATAAATACTACAAAGGCATACAAAGTTTTGGGAGTGTTTAGAATAAGATGATAATTAATGCTTACATCTTGGCAGCAATTAGGAGAAGTGGTGGAAGGTTAAGATCCCAGAGTTCTAGGAAAGCCCTTTTCAAGAAGCGACATCTGAAATGAGTTAAAATATGTAGAATTCAGAGGAAGGAAGCATATTTGTGTCAGTGGGAATGCAGAGTACATTAGGTCCCCCTTTTGACTGAAGTGGAAGGTACTTGAAGGTAAGTAGCTGGAAGTAAAGTTAAAAAGCTAGACTGGGGCCAGATCACAGAAGGCCCTGAATGCCACTCTGGGAGAAGATTTATGTATTGACCAGGTACTTGTTTTAATGGTTTTAAAGATTTGGAGCTGAAGGTGAAGG